AACAATTCCAGAAAAAGAAACTGTACGGCATCAGAAAAATAGAACCAGGAAATAAATCCATGCGAGAACAATAACAATGGGTCGAAAAACTATAAAAGATTCTCGCGTTGCAAAAATAAAGAGGAATTTTGTACTTTGCAGTCTGAACGTGTGTCTGCAATATGAAAGGTTCAATAAGTAACTCCCGTCGTGTCTATGTACTGTTTTTTCTCCTCAGGATTTATGTTTGCCTGGTCCTTACTTATAGATACGGTTATATATTTTGCAGTGTTCCATGTTGCGTCAAATTCTGAATTAATTCATTTTTAATATGTAGAAAGAGTTAGGTGAACTTGTGTCACATGAAAGGTTCAATAAGTATCTTCCGTCGTATCTACATGCTGTTTTTTTTCTCCTCAGGGTTTATGTTAGCCTGGTTGTTACTTATAGATACAGTTATACATATATTTTGCAGTGTTCCGCGTTGCGTCAATTACTTTCTAGAATATCTGAATTAATTAATCTTTAATTTGTAAAAGAGTTAGGTGAACGTGTGTCTATAATATGAAAGGTACAGTAAGTATCTGTCGTTGTATCTACATGCTGTTTTTTTTCTCCTCATGGTTTATGTTAGCCTGGTTGTTACTTGTAGATACGTTTATATATCTTGCAGTGTTCCGCGTTGCGTCAATTACTTTCTAGAATATCTGAATTAATTAATCTTTAATTAGTAAAAAGAGTTAGGTGAACGTGTGTCTATAATATGAAAGGTACAGTAAGTATCTGTCGTTGTATCTACATGCTGTTTTTTTTTCTCCTCATGGTTTATGTTAGCCTGGTTGTTACTTGTAGATATTTACTGTTACTTTATAGAATATGTCAATTGAAAAATAATAATTTGTAACAAGAGTTAGGTGAGCGTGTGTCTGTAATATGAAAGATTCAATAAATAACTCCAGTCGTACCTAGGTACCTACTATTGTTTTTTCTCCTCAGGATTTATATTTGCCTGGTCCTTGCTTATAGATACTGTAATATATTTGCAGTGTACCATGTTGCGTCAATTTCTTTATAAATATCTCAGTTAATAATTAATTTTTAATTTGAAAGAAGTATTAGATGAACGTATGAAAGATATGAAATTAGATTCCCGTGGAATTTATGTACCTACTGTCTTTATTCTCCTCAAGATTTATGTTTGCCTGATCCTTCCTTATATGTTTTATATGTTATATATCTTGCTATTTTTTGTAAAGTATACCGTGTTGCGTCAATTAATTTGAAGAATCACTGTTGAATATATATTGTTTGTGTTTTTTTAATTTGTAAAAAGTATCTAAACTTTTCATTTAAAATATGTATTTTATTTTATTTATATACTTAGGCAAATATTACTAATTTATAAATACCTTCAGTATTTACATGTGTATGTATGTAATTTGTAATGGTATATTACCTATTTCTATACTGCGCCAACGACCTGTTCTTTACTCGTTCGTCGTCGTCGTCGATCTCCCAGGTCGTATTTAAGATGTTGATTGATTAATTTAAGCTACAAGACCGCCTTTTTGTATATCAAAAATTTGTAAAATTTTCCTTTTGTATTATTTTATACCTATATATAAAAAGTGCATGAATCTTTTGTAAGTGGAGGTCAGGTCAAAGCGGTCACTACATTAGAGTATAATCATCCATCTATTGGACGGACATTCAGAACTGGACAAGACAAATATCCACTCTGAACCATTAATCCTTCTAATCTTGACAGAAATCTCCGGAAGGTGAGCGTTCACAGTGAGGTATTTATCAACACGAGTTGAGTGGCACAATTCCTCGTTCGACGATATGAAAACTTATAAGATTTTTTCTTTGCTCACTGCGTATTTTTTGCGGAAGAAATAAGTTTTATTTGCTGTAATTTGAGAGGAGTGTCATCTAGTCATGTTGTTAGCTAATTAATTAATTTATTAATAAAACTTTCACAACATATCTTATACATACAAAACAATACTTGTATCTTTCTTTGTACCTTATAAGGGAAAAGTTTTTGATAAAAATACAATATTATTGTATTGAATATTGTATTTTTATCAAAAACTTTTTCCTGTTAATTCAGAAAGAATATTAATTCAAAATAAAAAAACATAATAAAATATTTAAACTGTTACTTGTCTTGTAATATCTAGTGGAGTGCATGCAACAAATCTTTAATTTGTATCTTAAATTCAGAATTTAAAAATAACTTATTAATTATAGGTTATTGTATAATTTAAAGGTAAATAGAAATCTAAAAGTGAAAAATTGTTAATAAAAATAGTATAAACATTTTTATAGACTGAAAAAATGTTACTAATAAAAGAAGTATAAACATTTTTATAGAATGAAAATATTCTAATATGTGGTAGTAATACAAAATGCTAATATATGTATTTATGCATTTATATTCTTTAAATGACTAAAGTGCTGAACAGATCCAAATGGAACATATCTAGATATATGAAAAGACTGCAACGGTTATCTTTACCAAATAAATGTTTGGTTTGATTTGATTTGATACCTCAACATTTTTTTTTCGGACTACTCTAATGACTACTCTGTAAAGGCCAGCTGCGGCCAACACCGCAGCTGGTCTTTACAGCTTCACCGGACGATAGGATGAGTGCAGATGGCACTCCAAACCCGCGGAAGGACTTATGAAGCGGCTGAAGGCCAACGCCTGACAAATACGACTTCAGTCTAAGGGCACCGCTAGGGGTTCGAACCTCGGCTCAGGCCGTCGTAATTTCGATCCCTGTTTGAATTGGACGGGGGATCGATCGGAGGGGTCCTCAAAAATAAACAAACGCGGGCTGAGAAATAAATATGATTTCTATTTAGTTGTACTTATACATACCTTTGGTCCAAAAGGAAAGCGCCTCTTGATATCACTGGAGTACCGTACTAATTTAATTAGAGGCAGAGTCATTACTACCCAATTAGTGTTGATGAATTTCGCCTTTGACACTGGCGATAGCAAATTTCTAAAATTGACGTTATCACCTTCGTAAATATTCTAAAATACCAGTTAGAATTCAATATACCGTTTTCTACACCTTTGTATTGAAATGATTTTAATTTAAATTAAACACGTTACATTTCTACCTATTGTACTAAATGATTTATTTAAAATAATTTAATTTAAATTAAAAAAAATACATTTCTACATGTTCTAAATAATTTATTTAAATTTTACTAGCGACTCGTCCGGCAATGATCTATTATATATCTTTGATTTCTCGGCTTTTTCTATACTATAACACGCATGTATTATACCACAGATCACATAATATTATAGTTATAAACGTTCCTCTTGAAACACTATCTATTGCTAAATACTGCATCTGTCTACCCGCTTTCTTAGTTATTTTCTACGTACACCGTCACTTCTACTACTGGAGAAGGAGAACTCTTGATAATCACGCCAGAATACACTCAGTGTATCATTGCGATTTTTTAAGCTAATCTAGGTTTATCCTTAGTTTTAAGTATACCTAGCACTGGATCCCATATGCATATTTTGAAACCCCATTGAATTTTTTACATTTATAAATTTCTATAACTACTTTCACAATTCCAGAGATATAACGAAGTTTAGTAGATATAAGCTTTGTCACATGAAATTACATCCAGTGATATGGGCCCGAGTTGTTGGATGGAATTTCAGAAAGTATAGAAAAAATATTTACAAAAAAGAACTTTATATAAACTCTATTATGTAAAACAAAAGGCGGCCATATCGCTCAAGGCAATCTCTTACAAAATAAGTATTTAACTTAACATATAAATATCAGGTTATCTCATTTATATAATGTATATAAATGTGAACAACCGCGAAAAGATTTTCATAATAAATAAATATTACTATAAATTTACTTTTATTAAAAAAATACATTCTCATTTTATTATAAATTTATTACTTTTATGAATAATTTATTACGACAATTTTATTTTTATACTTTCATGTTTAATACGCATTATTATTATAGTTATTCGAGTCTTAACATGAATAATTTTATGTTAAATAAAGGTTGTTATTAGCTATCTTGTTGTTATTCATTATACAATTATTTATGTTAAGACTTAATTAACTATATTATTTATTATGACCATTTACAAATTACAGACTAGATTCATACTTAATTCCTTAAATTTCGTGAGTTATTTAATAATAATAATAGTAATAATAAGACATTTATTCAGCATTACAGTATTCTTATTTACTATTTATTTCTTAAGGTTTCTAATTTTATTGTTGTATAATTAAGTTATGTACATAATTAAGTACTATATTTTAAATTTTGATAACATCTTCAATTATGTATATGATTTTCAATTTACTATTTCTCATTAAATTACAGTAATTTTATATACCAAACTAGCTTTTGCCTGCGGCTTCAGTCGCGTTAATTTATCCCCTTAGGGGTGGAATTTAGCGAAATCCTTTCTTAGCGGATGCTTACGTCATAACATCTACCTGCATGCCAAATTTCAGCACGATCCGTCCAGTGGTTTGGGCTGTGCGTTGATAGATCACTACGTCAGTCACCTTTGAGTTATATATATTTAGATAACTAAACTAATAATATAATACTTTATTATAGACTAGTTGTAAAAAAACACTTTCTATATTAATAAAACGGAGCCTGATCGCTAGAAGCAATCTCATACTGTCCACCTGATTACAAAGTAAAGTTATAGATTAATCTTACTGTTTGTTCCAACTTTTATAAAAATCAGAGTGATTGAGACTACAAAGATTGTAAAGTTTAGTACTGTTATAAAATCTAGTTTATTTTTAGTCCACGCTGATTAATATTCTAGTTTGTAATTAGTACAGAATAGAATATAGGACATGAACTCTAACAAAAGTCCGATTTAATCAAACTCGTTTACAGATACGTTAACCAGATCCATTGTATCTCCCGGTCCAGTATTGTTTAGCTAATCTCCAGTGATTAACATTCCTCCTCTTGTTGTTTCAGGCAGTCGGCCGATGTAAACATAAAGCCGAAATGAGATGAGTATGCGTGTGGCGTGGGCCAGATGGTACTGGATTGTTATATTCACGACTTGCGCTGCGAGGACTGCCAGCGACTGGCTCGATTGCGCCCACATCGCTACCTGCCGCTGCAAATGGTCCTCGGGTAAGAAGACAGCTTCATGTGCCTCCAGTGACCTACGCCGCCCGCCGTCTCTCTCATCAGACATCCAAGTTCTCGATCTTCACGACAACCCGCTAAGAAATCTCCCTCAGGAAGTTTTCGCTAATATAGGCCTGTTAAATTTACAAAGATTGAATTTGAAAGCGACTAAATTGAGATCGATTCATGCTGATGCATTTTTAGAGTTAAGAATTTTAATCGAAGTCGATTTAGCCGATAACGACCTGTCAAGCATACCGAGAGATATATTTAGAGGCAACGAAAGACTGCGCTTAGTTGTACTGAGCAACAATCCTTTGACAACACTAATTGCAGACCAATTTCCATCATTACCACACCTACGGATGCTTCTATTAGATGGATGCAGATTAAGATCTTTGCATACAAATTCGTTGAGGAATCTGAAATCATTAGAGACAATAGACTTGTGTAGAAATCAGTTAACATTCCTTCGTTTAAGTACGTTCTCATTGCCCGCTTTGAAGACAATATCACTATCTGGAAATCCATGGGGTTGCGATTGTCGTCTTCGTGAGTTTAAGGACTGGTTTTTAGATAGTAAATTGGGTACAGAGGAGTTAGTGTGCGTAGAACCATCAACACAAGCGGGTAATAAGTGGCGCAACGTACCTAGTGAAAGTATGGCCTGCGCGCCAGAAGTGCGTTCAAGTACATTAGTGGTAAGAGCTGAAGTTGGTGCACCTACTTCCTTTGGTTGTTGGGTGCACGGTGTTCCAAAACCACGAATTACATGGTTATTCGATGGAGTGGATGTTCATAATGGTACTGTTGATATCGATATGGAAGAATCGGAGACTAGTATAGACGATGATAGTTCTGAAGTAAGAGTACCTGGTAGTGTAAGATGGGTTAATATTACTCTTTTAAATGTGACATCTAGCGCTGCAGGCGAGTGGACGTGTGTAGCTAAAAGTATAGCAGGCGAAGCAAGAGCCATTATAAGTCTAGTTTTACCAAGATCTCAAACCGCGACTGCCCGTACTGCTCCAGGTATTCCACAGCTTTTAGGAGTTGTATTTGGCGCCTTAGGTGTTTTAGCCAGCCTTGGTTTTATTGCCGCTGTTGCTTGTTGGCATTTAAGAAGACGAACTGTACCACCGAGTCGAAGCTTTACTGACCAAGAAAAAAGACTCATCGACGCATCAGTAGTTGTTAGCTGCGATCGTTCTATTGGAGATATGGCATCACCATGTGATTTCGAGTTAACTGAAAGATCATTATCAATTGATGATAATCAATCTAGGGGATGTGGATTTGATCCTGTTCATATAACTATAGAAGGTACTCCGGGGGCTTTTCCTCCACCACCAGCGGAATTTGCAGTACCAGTTCCTTATGGCAATATATTCATATCGGTGCAAGTGGCAGGGAGAGGAGAACCTGGGAAATATCCAGATTTACTAAGTGGTGGAGCTACTTTACCCAGGCGGAGTAGAACATGCTGTGCTGCACCTGCTTATGATAACATGGGTCCCAGAGTTACAGCAACCGGGAGTTCGACCTGGTCATTGCCAGGCGCTAATTCAGATAATGCTGATCAATCGGAGACGCCTGTCTTAACATTACCACCTCCACCTCCAGAGTTTGTCTCCCTTTAGCCTAGGCCATTGGTACTAGACGCCTCCAATCTGAGGTGACCTGGTACCTAGGACATTTCGAGTCAATTAGACTATCCCCAATTTTATTGTATTTAATGCAATTTTGACGTGATTATTCATTTGTAAATAGTTTAGAGTGCTAAGTGCGGACGATGTGTGACATCCTGTGAGATATACGTAAGGTTGTTATCAATATAATATAAATTGTATAATAAACCCTTTATGAAACTTGTTAATATGTTGGGATGATTGAAGTAAAGATGCGATATCTTCAAAGAGATCAGAATGCGTTTCAAGTTGAATACCGTTTCATTACACGACATCGCTTGCAATCTTTGAACCGTTCAGACGAGAGCACGGTGACTTATATCGCATTCCTCTTTGAATATTACAGCTACTTTTTCACTTTATTTGTCTTTAGATATTCCTTTAAGTCTTACGCGTATGTGTCTTCCCAACTTTTGTAAATATCGTTTATTCGTATTATACAAACTTCCCAAACATAAGACTGACCCTTTTGTCTTGTTTTCGTCTCTCTTTGTGACTTAACGAAAGTGTATATACACTCCTCTTAGACAAGATAGCTTCTAAATATTTACTTTGAAAGCAAATATCTAATGTAAATGAAAATAAACAGATCATGTAAAATTTGGTTTTGTTTTATTGTATGTATTTACCATTCATTTGGGGACCACAAATATCGAAATGACGTTGACAATGAATTGCTACCAAGAGATTTAATTTGGACGATTTGCCGTGGGCCATATTGTTATGAATGTTATTTATGTACAAGCATTAGTATTTGAAAATTACTCGTTGTTTTGCTTCATACATTGTGAATTATTATAAATGTGAGTAACAAATCTATATGTTCGGCGATCACGATTGAATAGTGAAAATCATTTGTGGAAAAATTGAAAAATTATAACAATATTACATAGTATAAAATAAAGTCGCTGTTGTTGTCTGTCCGTCCTTATATATGCTTAAATCTTTAAAACTACGCAACGGATTTTGAGGTGTTTTTTATTAATAGATAGACTGATTCAAGAGGAAGGTTTACATATATAATACATGTACATCCGTGCGAAGCCGGGGCGAATAGCTAGTTAGTTATATATAATTGTAATACTTTTAGAGTACAGTCAAGGAAAGTTAGTGTTCTTTCAATATTCTCAAACAGTACCAAAAATATTTTGTTGTCAACCAGATTCGTACTTATGACCTTATGAACAAGTCAGAGTAATTTGCCACTAGGTCACGATGCTCTAAAACGTAATTAACTAACTAAACCGTTGTTCTCATCTTAGTACGTACGTGAAAAAATTTAACCAACTAATGAAATGTTTATAACACATGGCCCTCAAACTACTACTGATCCATTGAAGCCAATGGAGAAATCCCCGTGGTTCAGCACACTGACTTACTTCGCAGGTTCGATTCCTCGCACAAAACAGATACTACTCGAGTATGATTATTTGTATTCATCTATGTGTTTTTTATGTATATTATATATGTATTTACAAAGAAATGTATCTAAGTATATCTAGTTGTCTAGTATTGTGTTGTCTCTATTACTGATCCTTTGTAATATATAAAAGAATCCCGGAAACCATAAAACAAGAAGGGAAAATTAATTTATTAAAAAAAAAAAAGGCTTAAAGAATTACTGACTAAAAAAACTTATTATACAGTAAAAGAATTTTTAACAGACGTACTGTAGGAGCATTACAACAGACTTAAATTTTAAATTTCTTTTTGGGAATGAGTCATCTACGAAATCGCTATACTCTTTAAACAGAGTCCATGTGTACTGTTGATTTATTACATACATACATACAAACAGTAAATTTATATATATACATGTGCAATTATAAATAAATAAATAAAATAGTACCCATAAGATATGCTCTACTTAGTTAGGGTCTAGATGGCGCTGTATGGAATGTTCATGATTAGTCTTATTATTAGAATCATACGAGAACGTACATAAAATGATAGAACGTCCAGTAAAAAATAAAATGGCTTTAATTTTTTTTTCTATAATATTATATTATATAAAAATAGATAGAACTATTTATTATTCTCAAACAGTTAGAGATTCACTGCAAAGCAAAAATTCTATCGAATGGTCTCTCATCACGGAAAGGTAAAGGTAAAGAACCACTGAACTGTACAAAGGTAAGGCGCACGAACGAGAAATTCACGGAATTAATGTAAGGGGTATGTTTTCACGTTGGAATTCAAAGGGGGATGCGTGAAAATTCAACCTTGACGCTAAGGAATTATTGCAAAGCATTATTGTCCCTCAGGTTTATTGCACGAGGGTAATTTATTCCTGTTTCAATTTTAAATCCATCTGATTTTTCAACAACCTCAATGCTTAAGTGTTTATACTCAGTGAAAGATTATTTTTCATGCAAAATAGATGACATTATATAATTTTTATTAATAACTATAAATATTAACATTAATTAATTAATATAGATATTTAAATATATTTGTGGGTATTCGTAATGTAATGACATAATTTTATATTAAATTGAATATGATTTAATTTGAATATTTGCATACCTTCTAAGGGGTGCTGCATGTCATGTACTTTTATTAGTTAATAAGATCCGAAACTACCATGTAGCAAGCAAATAAATAAATTATTATTAAAATTCACCAGAGACATTTTATCAATCCAAATTGATATTAATAAAAAAAAATTAAAGGGCATTAATCACTATTTTAAACTACTTTAGAAAAGGTTCTTATGAGTACTTAATACTTATTGAGGCAGCAAATTGCGATTTTAATGATAAATTTATGACTGTACTAGCTGTGCCCGCGTTTTCACCTACATGAAGTTTATAACCTATGTGTTATTCTAATGTTTAAACGTATTACTGTAAAGTTTCATCAAAATCTGTTCAAAAGTTTTTGCATGAAAAAGTATCAAACATTCATTCTTTGATCTATTCAGGCGTACTCATAAACTTTCGCGTTTATAATATTATATAATATTGTAATCATATATATCTTATATATGATATATATTAAGAAGATTACACAAAAATTACCATACTATAGTTTATTTCTGTTTCCATTTTAAATCTATTTGCTTTTTCAACAACCCGAATACATAAAAATTACCAGAGACATGTTGTCAATTCAAATTGATATTAATGAAGAAAAGTCAAAGGGCATCACTATTTTAAAATAAATTAGAAAAGGTTCTTAATCCTACTTAATTTTTTTTTTGTTACGATCGTAAATTGTGATATAGTTATTATTTTATTCCACAAGAATTACGGTATTATAATGGTACTAGCATAAACTTTCAATTACAAAATGAATTATCAAAATATATTAATATATAACGAAGATAAAAGAAATGTGAAATAATTTATTAATGTAGTTAATGAAGCCATAACACAAATAAATTTTATGGTAAATGTAATATCATATAGGAAAGATTAGATTCTTTCCATTGAATAGGCTTTAACACCAAGGATCGATTTGGAAAAAATTACAATTAAAATCCTACATTAACATAGCGAAAGTAATTTTTCAAAAACGTTACCTTTCCATATGAATATTTTGATAATATAATCCATCGTAAGAAAAAAATACCTAAATCACGTACGTTTTGGAAATAATTGACAATAAAGCAAAGTGATGTACTACAGTTTTATATAGGACATCAATATCGACGTGTTTCTGTATGTGTGTTTGTTAAAGATTATTTTTTATATTTTTTTTTCTTAAATGTCTATAGGTATTACGTAAATCTTTATTTACCATAAAATTATTCGTGTAAATACCCGATTAATAATGTGTTAAAAAAATTTAAGTAATTAAGTTATTCTTTTAAATGCATTTACGGTAAATAACTTTCACTTGATCCTATTGCAGATTCTTATATTATGCTATTATATTGATATTATCGAACTCGCTACCATTAGAAAGAAAGGCAGTGTCAAACCGCTAGACAATGATGCCTTGATATAAAAGAGAAATTCTCCAGAAAGTACTACAATATGCGGCTATTTGTCCACGGTTTCGATCCCATGGGATTGTAGACAAATCCGACCCCATGTCAAGGTCCGGGAAATGCTGCCGAGTTATTGAACGCAGGGTTGCCAATCTTACAGTTTCTTGCGCCATGTTGCCATGCAAAATATATTTTTTTTTATTTATTTACACACAAATTTATACAACATAATATAAAAACAATAAGCCGCAAAACTGCTCAGCAGGTTGTCTGCAGCAAAAGCGCTATATAAAACTTAATACTTACTTCTAATCTATATATACACACACATACATTCACATAAACACATTACTGTAGAACCAGGTATCTTATGCCACAGAATGTTTGTTTACAAAAAAGTTTAATAATTTCAAATTTCATATTAGGTAGGTTAGGTGCCATATTAGGTAATTTTATCATTATGGATAAACTACGTCTCCTATTACCTTATGATCCACTGGTGATCTTCCAACGTACTCCGTTAAGGCAGGCGGGTGGATTCCCTGAAATAATAATAATAATCTCAGGACAATTCACACAGCGCCATCTAGATCCAAGTTAAGCTAGCAATAGCGCATGTTATGGATATATTTTTTTCGTAAATACATACATATTATATTATATAGAAAATATAATTATATAATACATAGAAAACACCCAGACCGATACAAACAATCATACTCATGAATGCAAATGTTTGTGCCGTCAAACCCGAGACCATCTGACGTAAAGCGGTGTACTAAACCGCTAGACCACCGAGGTATTGAGACAAAACAAAGGATACAAAAGATGTGGGAGGGTTACGACAGTTCTAATTAGTGTTGTTTTTTATATAATTCTAGCTGACACGACAAACTCCGTTCCGTCTCAGAATTATATAACGTATCAAAGTTCAATAAATCTTACTAGATAATATTATTAACTCGAAAGTTTGTGAGTATGGATGATGGATGGATGTTCGTTACTCTTTCACGCAAAAACTACTAAACGGATTTGAAGTTTACAGTAATGTAGATTCTACATCATAATCTTTTTAAATTATAGCCTAACCCTAACTTATAGGCACGTTAGGCTATAATTTAAAAAGAAATTATATAAATTGGGTGAAATGTAAACATATATAGCTCAAAGGTGACTGACTGACATAGTGATCTATCAACGCACAGCCCAAACCACTGGATGGATCGGGCTGAAATTTGGCATGCAGGTAGATGTTATGACGTAGGCATCCTCTAAGAAAGGATTTTGATTAATTCTACCCTCAAGGGGATAAAATAGGGGATGAAAGTTTGTATGAAACTTTGTCAATTTTAAACCGCTCGGGCTGAGACTTTGCATGCATAACGCTACTATAACGTAGTCATTCTCTAAGAAAGGATTTTTATAAATTCCACGCCTAAGGGATAAATTAACGCGAGCGAAGCCGCAGGTAAAAGCTAGTATAATGATAAAACTCAAGTACGTGAATTGCAGATGAAATTGGTTAGCTAGCACTAGCATAAAATTAAGAATATCATAATATCTTATTACGGTTTATTTATTTTATTGAGATTGATCTTCTCGCGATTGGAAAATGTTTTCATTGTACATAATGGTATTGTGAGTATACATAATTTGCCGAGATGAGTATTGAACGTGTTTCTACAGTAGCAAAGAATCTTAATATTTTAAAATTTTTGCTTTAGGATCTGGATTGTTATTTAGAACACGCTTTGTATATAAAATGTTTAAACGTATTTCTGTTTGTATTGAAAATGTACGACTGAACCAACAACCACCAAACCATTATGTAAATATTTTTATTTTTTTAAACGGCCTCAGTTCAGCACACTGTTTTACTTCCGATGGTCGCGGATTCTATTCCTCGCACGGCACAAACATTTGTATTCATGAGTATGATTGTTTGTATCGGTCTGTGTTTTCTATGTATAATATGTTTGGATTTACGAAAAAAAAATATCTATGTATTTGTATCAGCATTATATAGCTTAACTTGGACAATTCACAAAGCGCCATCTAGTTCCACTAGATGGCGCTGTGTGAATTGTCCTGAGATTATTATTATTATTATTATATGTATATATTTATGAAAAAAATATATATCTAATATCCATAACACAAGCTTTAGCTAGCTTAACTCTTGGGTTTAGATGGCGCTGTGTGAATGCTTGAGATTATTATATCTACGCACATACTTGTCATTCATTTATTTATTGCACCAGATAAATTACAGGATGCATCATGCTATTTATTTTTAAATTTATGTGAGCTGATTTGTCATTCCAGTAACATAAAAACATATCGTAAAGTTGGCAACACTGATCGATCATGTTCAATGCCATATTGGGACATACTGGGACAGGTAATACGTTAAGATCTATATATTTATTTTTATTACTAATATAGATTATGTTATTAAGTTGTTACTAACGAAATGCGTGTAAATCTACTTGGGGTATCCATAATCGTCACGCTTGGCATGTGGGTTGGCGATTGCAGTGTGATGGTAGTTGCTCAGAACTGCTGCTCGTCCTCTGGTCGAGGAATCCCTTATCCACCTTCTACGACACCCACGGGAAGAGACGGGGTGCTATTCTTTCGGCGACACCACGCGCACAATCACAAGATCTCGTCGTTGAGATCTTTGGGTGATACCTTTGGTCAGCAGTGGACGTCTTCCGGACTGAAAAGTGATGAACAAAATAGACTATGTTGTCTGATGATATTTTTTTTTATTATATTACTTTTAGGCATCACATTAATATTATACAGTACAAAATTATATCGATATGATGCAAACTGATCGAGAAAATCTCTTTGTAGTATCGGTTATTGAATTTATTTCTATAAGTTAAATCCCTGATGGATTTTCGTGGATGTGTTACGACATTTTTCCTTTAAGCCTTACTATTATTGTTGTCAGTGTTCCTTCGCTAGATAAGGTGTGAACATGACACATTGTTATATTGTCTGTAATATCTTGAAGTACATATTGTGTAAATAAATCATTTTATATATATTTATATTTGTGTATTATAGATCTTATTTAATACATATTTTTTGGGTTTAAATTATGTGTATCTGTATGTAGTAAAAAACCCGCATCTTAGTTTTTTTTTATGAGTAATGGTTGCTGAAAACCAGCGCTATATAGGTGCACCTCACTAAGGTTGTGCTCATATCAGCAACAGCTGAGGCAGCTCCTATTGCCAACTTCCATGTTATTATTTATTTCCTGTTATGTGTCTTATTGTAAACTGTATTATTTGTGTTATGTTGGCACAGTCCAACTTCGTACGCGCATGCGAACGTACGGTTATCGAGCGGTCATTGACATTATAACTACAATGACGACTGTTAAATGTAATAATTGCAATGTTGTGATTAACGAGTTACTCGCTTTTATACAAAATAAAGCTGATATTATGGATGAAGAGAGCATCAATAGATTATGTGTGACTGCATTTACCGACGAAGAGATAGCTCTCGCCAAGAAGTTATTGTTCGAGTCAGTGGATACATCAAGACGCAAAATAAAAAGAAGAAAAGAAGGCAAAAACTTGCGGGATCTTGTTGACATTATCGGGCTGATAAAAGAAACGGATCCTGAAATAGTTCCAATTTTTGTAGCCAGAGAACTTCACAAGCTGCCGCCGGTCACTTTTGACCACCTTGATGCTACAAAGTTGCTGAGGGATATTATTAAACTTCAGGACGATGTGGCCACTGTGAAGGAAAAGTATATCTCCCGAGAAGAACTCATTGGTATGAAGCTGATAAGCGCATCTGATGATTGTATATTGAATCGCGGCAGAGATAAATGTCCAAAAGATGATACAGCAGAATATGTCCAGGAGGGGGCAACGTCCGCAACGTTCGAGAAGCCGGTGTCAAGCGCAGGTGATAGTGTTGTTTCGCTTATGCGTACGAGTGCGAGTGATAAACAATCAAAGTGCGATAAGGTGATTCGTTGTAGGCGCGTGGAGGCCCCTACCGTGGTTCCGACAATAACGGTTGCATGCGAAACTGCATCGCCAATGCGCCCGGACGCTAAGAGTGATAAGGACATTATAGTGAGGCGCACTGTGGTTTCGAACGAAGATGCACCTGCGCGTGCGGCTGCGCGTAGTTCATTGACTCCAGACCGTAAACAGCTGTCGGATTTATTGCGCGACGGTAGTGAATGGAAAAAAGAGATTCGTAGTGAAGAATGGACTAAAGTACAGAGGAAACGTTATCGAAATCGTTTCATTGGCTTGAAAGGTAAAGCGGAGATTCTTCCTAATTGTACTTTTAAAGCGGCAGATGTTAGTATTCCGTTTTATATTTATAATGTAAATAAGGAAACTAGGATGGAGGATATTACTACATATATTAAAAACAAAACAAGTGTGTCAGTATTATTACTCAAAATAGATATGAAATTTAATAAGGAATATGCGGCTTACAAGTTCATGATACCTAAAAGTAAATTAAATGTATTTATGAATGAGAACTTATGGCCTGACGGAATAGCATTCCGTAGATTTGTTACATATAAAAGTAAGGTTAATAATTTACCGTCGAGTATATAATATATTAGATACTTAATTTATTATATGTGTACAGATAATTATTTAACATTAATTAATGGATATAAATACTCTTAATTTTGATAAGTTTATTGCTAAGTGTGTAAGTTATAACTGTAAGTCACTAAAGAGGTCGATTCAATGTATACGAAACTTATGTAGGAATGTTGACATTATTGCCCTTCAGGAGACATGGCTGTTACCACATGAACTAGCGGTACTGGGGACTGTGGATAATAATTTTGGTTATTTTGGCAAATCTGCCGTTGATATGTCAGCGGGAATATTAAGAGGTAGACCCTTTGGTGGAGTAGCACTCTTATGGAGAAAATCGATATTTACATCTGTCTCTGTTATTCCGTGTTTGAGTGATCGTATCGCTGCCATTAAAATTACAGTCAGTGAACGCACTATGTTGTTTTTTAGTATATACATGCCTACGAATACTCCTGATAATTTTGTTGAATTTTGTAATTGCCTGAGTGAAGTAGCAGCAATCGTCGAAAGTTCAGGTACCGAAAATATATATATTATGGGAGATTTTAATGCGCATCCCGGTGAATTATTTGAAACGGAATTATTAAATTTTTGTAATGAACAACAATGGAGTTGTGCCGACTATGTTATGTTAGGAAGGTTCTCTGGCACGTTTTCGTTCATCAGTGATGTATGTGGAAGTAAACGTTGGTTGGACCATTGTATTGTAACTGAAGCAGCATTAAGAACCGTTTGTGATGTGGAGATTTATGAGGATGTATATTGGTCTGATCACTTCCCGCTTGTAGTGCATATTAACTTGGGTATAGTAGCTATGAATACCTCTGTAAAATACCAAGACTGGCAAAGAGATCCGGCTATATGGGGTACACGAGAAGTGACGCAGGTAGATAATTATTTTCGATTGTGTACAGAAAGTCTTAGTGCTTTAAATGTTCCTTTCGATATTAGTCAGTGTGGTGACAGCTTATGTTGCAACGAAGGACATAGACAGTCAATTGATATTTTCTATAATAATATGATTTCATTAATTCGAAAAGCGGCTATCCTTAGTGGCAACTCAGAAAAAAGCGTATGGAGAAGGCATGCTGTGCCTGGCTGGAATAAATATGTTAGGGACGCTCATAGGCAGGCGAGGCAGGCTTTTATTAACTGGAAGTTCTATGGAGAGCCACGATGCGGGCCTCTGTATGTAACTATGAGGGAAAAAGGTAAAACATTTAAAGAAAAATTAAAATTTTGTCAAAATAATGCGGAACAAATTAAGTTGGATATTTTAGGCGCAGAGCATAAGGGTAAGAATTTTAAGAGATTCTGGAAGTTAACTCAGAAACTTAGCCCTAAACCTTCCATTCCTGTGAGCGTCAATAGCATAAGTAACCCAAAGGATATTGCGGATTTGTTTATGAATCATTTTAAGGTGGATCCAGTACTACAACCCAGTACGCGGTCGGAATGTGCTAGGAGCACTAAGTCAAGGGTACCTGTACAGTTCTATACGGACGAAATAAAGTACGTTATAAAATCAATGACAAGAGGTAAATCGCCGGGTCACGATTCACTTAGTGTAGAGCATTTCCAGTGTGCAGGTCCGCAACTCCTGAGGGTATTAACTGCATTATATAATCTGTGTATACAGCATTCTTATCTTCCGAATGCATTAATGAGGACTATTGTTGTACCCATAGCAAAGAATAAGACTGGCGATCTCTCAAATAAAGAGAACTATAGACCCATATCGTTGGCTACTATTGCTGCGAAGGTGCTTGACGGTGTTCTTGAGAGACGAGTAGGCAAATATTTTAATATACACGATGCGCAGTTCGGTTTTCAGCCAGGACTGTCGACGGAGACGGCTATTATGGCGCTCAAGGACACGGTCAAGTATTATACTGATAGAAGTACACCTGTCTATGCAGTTTTCTTGGATCTTTCCAGGGCGTTTGACCTGGTTAATTATGATATATTATGGTCAAAAATGCATCGCCAAGCTGTACCTTGTCAGCTGGTTGATTTATTTAAGTATTGGTATGATCATCAAGTTAACCAGGTCAAATGGTCGGGTTCGTTCTCGGAAGAGTATAGGTTGAGGTGTGGGGTGAGACAGGGGGGACTGTCTTCTCCTGCACTCTTCAGTTTATATGTGAATGACCTGATTGATGGGCTTAGCAGTGCCAGGATCGGATGCTCCATACATGGAAACATGATTAACAGTATAAGTTACGCGGACGATATGGTGCTGCTGAGTCCATCGATTAGTGCACTTCGTCGACTGCTGAAGACGTGTGAAGAATATGCGGAGTCACATGGCCTCCGATACAATGTTAAAAAGAGCGAGGTCATGATATTTCATGGCAAAAATAGCACACAGAGAAGTATGCCGGCGGTATGTCTTTATGGCACACCATTGAATCGGGTGTCGCGGTTTAAATACCTGGGTCACATTGTATCGGGGGACTTGAATGATGACTATGACATAGAGAGGGAGCGAAGAGCGTTGTCGGTCCGATGTAATATGCTGGCCCGTAGGTTTGCACGGTGTAATAACGACGTGAAGACAACATTGTTTAAAGCGTATTGTCAGTCGTTTTACACGTGCGGCCTATGGTTTGGGTATACGCAGAGGGCATACAACGCTCTTCGTATACAGTATAATAATGGGTTTAGGATGTTGTTGGGGCTCCCTCGGTTCTGTAGCGCATCAGAGATGTTTGCAGCAGCGCGGGTAGATGGATTTGAAGCCATAATGCGTAAAAGAGCTGCATCACTGATGTCTAGAATTCGGGGGAGCTCAAACAGCATCCTAAAAACTGTTGCTAGTATACCTGATTGTCCGCTCCAGAGGCACTGGATAACGTTGCATTGTGGACCCAGTGCTTCTGGACGTGGACACAGGTATATGAATTAAATTTATCTACGTATATGTATATTATAAGTTACTAACATAGTTTTATAAGTTTTTTACTAACACTATATGGATGTAATTCCGAATTAAAAATAAATAAATAAAAAAAATAAATAAATCAATTATCTATCTATCTAAATGATATCTTATATATAAGGTTCTCGTGTCACAATATTAGTTACCGTACTCCTCTGAAACGGTTTGACTGATTTTTCAGAAATTTTATATGCATATTCAGTAGGTCAGTTGATTATTTTTCATACCCCTAAGTTTAAGTGTTGTCAATCCCTAAAATTTTTTTTATTATTTTGACCAAAATTTTATTTTTAAATTTTTATCATGTAGGACTAAAAAATAGATGTAAAAGTACTTAATAATTACTTAAAGGATCACTATGGCTACTTAATACAACTTAAAATATATGTATATCAGAACTATATAACAGACGGACTCGGTTGTCTAGGGGTTTAGCACACCGCCTTGATACCGGTGGTCGCCGTTTCGATTCCTCGATGTAATCATGATTATGATTATATGTATTGGTCTGTATATTTTCTGTGTATATTATGTATGTATTTACAATATATATATATATATATATATAGGTATTTGTATCAGTTGTTTAGTACCCATAATACAAGATCTTATCTTGGCACTAGATGGCGCTGTGTGAATAGTCTAAAGTTGTTATTATTGAACAATATCAATTATTTCAACCAAAAAATGCCTATATCATCTGAAATAGGTAAAACAGCATATCACTGTATCTTACATAGTATAAAACAAAGTCGCTGTCGCTATCTGGCCCTATGTATGCTTAAATCTTTAAAACTACGCAACAGATTTTGAAGCGGTTTTTTTTAATAGATAGAGTGATTCAAGAGGAAGGTTTATATATATAATACATGTACTCCCATACAAAGCCGGATCAAGTAGCTAGTATATAAATAAATTAGTGTATTAAGGAGTACAAAAATAAATATATTATGTACTGTATCACTTGATTCCTCTATCTCAGCATATATTAACTTAGGCGCTGGTATCAAAGCGAATTTGTAATTTATTTTCTCATCAATACACCTCCTTTTCAGTTTGTACGTATATATTCGTCTTGTACTGAATACATATTAACTACGGCTTCTTTATCGTATTTTGCTTTTGAAGATATTTTCAAATAACATGTCTGTAATAAATCTTACTATAATAATATTATAAACGCGAAAGTTTGTGAGTATGGATGTTTGTTACTCTTTCACGCAAAAACTACTGAGCGGATTTTGATAAAACTTTACAGTAATATACCTTATATATCAGAATAACACAGGTATGTAAATTGGGAGAAAAATAATGATAGAGTTCAGGCGCGGTTGTACTATATGTGGTCCAAATAGTATTTTTTATATAGCAACACTGTATCGTCGGGTTTCAGTGGGCCAGAGACAAAATTACGACAGTTACAGTTCGATATTCAAATTCTGTCAACGATCGTATACGCAACCATTGTAAACCACTATCAAGTAAATTAAAAAACTAATCTCCGAGTTTAATTACAACAACAAGACCCTCTTCTCACCAAAAAGCGTAAAGATATATTTCAAGTAAATGTGATGTAAACGTATGTACGTAGTATGAGAATAATTTTAATGTGATATTATTTATTTCATACAACTATGGTGGCAAATAAGCATACGGCCCATCTGATGGTAACCTGTTACCGCAGCCTATAGATGCCTAAACACTAGAGTTGTTACGTGCACGTTGCCGACTCTTAAGAAATCTTAATATACATATAACCTTAATCTGAAAATCAGTGTTTTGTTCCCTGAACAATGTTCCACGCTGAGCTTCGACCTTTTTGTATTGCTACAGATCACACATAATAACACAATTTTATAAATCTTATGTTGTATTATGTATTGTCTATTCTTATGAACATGTTGTGTGTGATTAGTAACAAACAAATAAACGATATATCTATCTATCTATCTATCTATCTATCTTAATATATACCTTTCTTGGAAAACCCCATGCTATTGTCTAGGAAAATTATTTAAAATTATAAATAAAGATTGTAGGTAGGATTTCCAATGTTCAGAGATGACTTCAATAGCATGTAAAATAT